CAAATATAAAACATGTCAGAACAAATACAATTTTTGAGAAAAGCAAAAGGACCTGCAGAAGAAGGAAGGGCTCAAAACATCAATCAAAAACACAGTAAGACCTCGTACCGAGGCCTTATCTAAGGCAAGCCAGATGGACACAAAACTTTTAGCTGACAATGCAGGCAGGGGCTTGAACTCAGGGCTGGATTATGGGTTTCATATTCTAAAAGTAAGGCCACAGAAATAGGGATGTGAGGTCATGTGCTTCCCCATGATAAAGGCATAGCCATAGGAAAGCTGCAAACAAGCCACCCCTAAAGGAGAGAGTCCATGTAAGGTTTAGAAGGGAAGGGCCAAGACAAGATCCCAGGACACTTTCTGATCTTTTCACTCAGGGTAAGATAAGGTGTCAGAAGCAAGCAGTCCCACCCCTCTGGCAGAGGCTTCACCTTCTCATCTCCTCACATGTGCTACTTGAAGCCTCTAAAGCCCTTGCAGCTTCTACTAGAGATTCCCAATTTCCAAGTATCCCAAACATTGCAATTTTCCTTAACTGTGCTTGTGATCTACCCACTACCTCATATATTGACTACATTTATTTGATTTTAATACTACATAGTCTCCTAAAAATACTTGATGGTTATAGTAAAAACAAAAAGACATATATTATAGAAAAGTCAAGACCAAAATCAACAAATAAAAGGGAAAGGAAAGGTCTTAAAAACAAAGACGGCCGGGCATGGTGGCTCAAGCCTGTAATCCCAGCACTTTGGGAGGCCGAGGCGGGTGGATCACGAGGTCAAGAGATCAAGGCCATCCTGGTCAACATGGTGAAACCCCGTCTCTACTAAAAATACAAAAAACATTAGCTGGGCATGGTGGCGCACGCCTGTAATCCCAGCTACTCAGGAGGTTGAGGCAGGAGAATTGCGGTTGCGGTGAGCCGAGATCGCGCCATTGCACTCCAGCCTGGGTAACAAGAGCGAAACTCCGTCTAAAAAAAAAAAAAAAAAAAAGAACAAAGACATAGAAAGATCAGCTGAGTGTGAAATTCAGCAAGTGTTGACTGCAAATGTCTTTCCAAATCTAACTTGCCCACCAACATAGCATAGAGGTTAAGAGGGCTGCCACTTACTAGCTATGACCTGAGGCCAAGTTACTTCATTGCTTAGTGCCTCCACTTTCCTATATGAAAACTAGAGATACGGAAAAACAAAACAAACAAAAAACCCTTCCCAGAAACTGACACCACTTCAAATTATCTCTCTCTCTCATTCCTAACCTAGTAAAAGTTCTTGAAAGAGAAGTCCAGGAGAGGGGAAAGAAACCAATCTTTATTGTGTACCTGCTGTATATTAACTCTATAAATTACATCATTTAGTCATCATAAACTTGTGAGAAAACATTTTTATCAATTATATAGACAAAATGGAGTCTTGGAGGCTCCAAGGCTTAGTTCAGAAGCTGAAAGTGACCTAAGATCTCCTCTCTCGTGACGCGTACCGTGGAGTGACACTCCACGAAGTAGGACCCCTGGGCTCCTACCTCAAAATCACTCAAAACCAATCACTTGTTAAAACCAGTGATTCCTAGGCCCTCACCTAGGCCTATTTAATTACAATTGCTTGAGGGTAGTGGTTTTAATAAGCCACCCACCACCATGACTCCCCTGCACATTCAAGAGCGGTTGGCTCAGTGGTTAGGAGCTTGGATTCTGAAGGTGGGCCTGGGCCTGGTGTCGCTATGTTTGGGGCATGTGACATTGGGCACATCACTCAACCTCTCTGAGACTCTTTACTTCATTCCAAGTATGGAGATTACAGAACATCCTGCCTATGGTTGCTGCAGTGATGAAATAATGAATGTCAGGTGCCAAGTTCAGAGTCCGGCATGTAGTAACTATGATCATTTGCTTCACATGAGAATAACTTAATTTCCTCTTTGCTTTCTCATCCAACTTCACAGTTCACTGTGTTTGCTTTTTTCTCCACCATTTAAGTGAAATCAGCTGAGCAAATATGACCTCCTTGCCAAATCCAATCTCCTCTTTTCTGATTTTATGTACTTTTGTATCTACTCTGTCCATTACTTATTCATTAGAACCATATTGTGCCTCTGCTCTGGGCCATGCCCTGGGCTAGGGATAAGGAATGCCATGGTGAATGCAGCAGGCATAATCCATATCCTCATGGAACTTTCGAGCTTGTGTTGGGGACATGGATCTCAATAAGTAACCACATATAAGCATAACAAGTTTTGCTATGGAAGAAGAGAGTGCCCCACACGCGAATGACAGAAAGGACCTTTTGTCAAAGAGGATCAGGGAAGGTCTGCGACCTGAGAAAGAGCCAAGTATGAAACAGGTCATTCACACAGAAGGAACAGCAACAGGTAGGAAGACCCTCAGGTGGAAAAGAGCTTGTCACATTGGAGAAAGAGAAGGAACATCCATATGGCAGGACAACAGGAAGGGTGGTATGAAATGAGCCCATAAATAGGCATGGGCTGAGCTGTGCAGAGCCTTGAAAACCACAGTGAAGGTTTGGATTGAATTCCAAGGGCAACTGGAAGGCCGCGGGAAGACTTTGAGCCAGAGTATGATCCCATCACTGTAGCAGTGATTTGGAGAAAGGGTTAGAAGGTGGTTAGAAGGGAAGCTGAGAGATCATTTGGTTTGCAGAGACTTGGATTTGAGTACTGGAAGCTGAGATGGGAAGAAGTGAGAGCACTGGAGATAAATTTTTGGTGGAGAACTGAAAAAATTTGAAGGTGAACTAGATGTAGAAGATAAAGAAGGAAGGGCTACCAGGAATTACTCCCAGGGCTCAGTTTTGAACAATGAGCTGTTTACCACTTAGTGGAACAATTTACCAAGGGGAGACACTAAGTCTCTCTCAGGGGAATATAATCTTTACCTTTCTAGAAATCTCCCAAATGACTCTGATGACTAACCCTAGTTAAGAAGGCTCAATCTAGAGAGGTGGCATAGAGAATAATGGTTAAATTTAATGACTAATCATTGTATCTTTCTTTGGAGGTAGCTTGTCTTTTTCAAACCTAGTGATGAGCTGCCTATATCACTGGGAAAGTTAGTTTGATCATCTATAAAGTGGAAATAACTGGCTCATATGACTGCTGTAAGGTGGTAATCTTATGAAACATTTAGAATACTTCCAAGCTACTATTTTCAGATCATTCACTTAAATAAGCCAGGTGTTTTCACATCTGTAAGCTTTAGCTCCTTCCCTACCTTTTGCTTGATGTGTTCATCTCCCCTTGTTTTATGTGATAATTTTCTGTTTCTTATCCAGAGGTAGCTTTTCTCTGACTGGTACCTCAAACCACCACCTGCCCTAACCAGTCATCTGGGCCATTTCTCCTGCTTGCATGGGCTCACAGTTTTCCATGCACTCTTCCACTATAGAACTTAACACATGGGTTAGAGTTATTTATTTGTTTATTTGTTTTTGGTCTCCTGGACAAGACTTAGAATTTTGGGGGGCTGCTAACCTTGCCTTATACAAATTTATTTCCACAGAACCTAGTCTGTTGCCATAGCTTGAGGCCCAGAATTAATTTGATGGATTTAATTTAATTTAACTAAATTAAAAGCATGATGCCCTCAGGGAACTCATCTCACAATCTAAGCCTCTTGCTTAATTAAAGTAGCCTGTGAATGCAGACACAGCAAACTACAGCCAACGTGTAGAAAACATTCACCCTACATGGCTATTTAGGCCCAAACTTAAGCCTAAACCAGTCATGCCAGACATAACACCTTTCTTATCTGTCTCTCACCTCTTGCTTTGCTCTTCCTGAGCAATGTGGGGCCTATGCCTTTCTGAGGAACAGAGGAAGGAGGAAGGTAGGGTGGGGAGAAAGAACTACTCCTACAACTTTACAAAACCTTCCTTCACCCCTCAATGGGGGAAGGAAGGTAGACAGGGTGGCTATGTGTCCTGTATTAACAGGCATGCTCAGGTTGGTTTGAATACTTTCTAACCAGGTGGATTTGTGCAGAAGGTCCAAACTCCAGGCAAACCCCAGTAATGTTACAAGCACAGTGAACTTTCCCAGAGCAAATTTTGTAAGAGGATCCATGGTTTTTACCATGCCTTTGTATGGAAGCAGAGTTTGAACTCTCTCATTCTAATTCTTGTGGAGATTTCAACCTCCATAAAGTACGCAGGAGGTACTGGTCATGCATTTTAAACTAAAATAATTTGATTAAGGGCTTGGGTCTCTGAGAGAAAAGTTGAAGAGGACTCTTCATTCTATTCCTTAACCTCAAGGCAAATGGACACAGCAGGAGGTAGGCTGACATGTACAAATGGAAACCTTTAGAGCCAAACAGATCTGGGTCTAAATCCTGACTCATTTCCTCTTTAGTTATGTGCTTATTAAAGTTAATAATGTGACAATGATGATAATCGCTAACACTTAGATGTACTTACTATATGCCAGGCTCTGTTCTAAGTGATTTGCATGTATCAACGTATTGAAGATACTACCATCATATTTTATAGCAAAGGAATCTTAGGCACAGAAAGGTTTTGTAATGGATACAAGTTGCTGAAGAGATGAGCAGGAATTCAAACCCAACGAGCTGGGCTGCAGACATCCATGCTAGCATCCACTGTGCTTCCCTGCCTCCCACGTGCCTCTGGAGCACAGCATCTGGCTTTCAGAATCTGAGTTTCCTTCCCTGTAAAGTGCATATATGAGGCCAACCTTGGTGAGATAATGTACATAGAACCCTAGACACCAGAGGGGCACCCACACTAGAGTAGGTATCTCTAATTTCAACTGGTATACCCACAATGTCCTGTCAGATTTCTAAGTAAACTCTAATAAAATTCTAAGGCATCTAGAGTGTCCAAGACAGCAAATGTGTGAGTGGGCTGAACAAATTGGAGGTTTTAAAATTTACTGTTTAGAACCTTCCATGGATCCAGAAGGCAGTCATAGTCTGTGATGCCCACTAACTCAATGTTTCTAAATTATGGCTTTTGTTGCAGGCTAGAAACCCACCAACTGCTAACAACCAGTTGGAGGGTAAGTCAAAAGCTATGAGAGCCTAGAAGGAGAACAATTATTTAGAGTAGCTGGGAAAGTCTTTGAAGGGTCTTCAGAAAATGGTCCAAAAGGAAAGAGGAAAAGTCATTCTACTGAGAGGAGTTTGTGTAATCAAAGCAACCGAGCCTTAAGAACTCACACAAGATTAGAAAAGGGTGAAGGATGCTTGGAAAGCTGGACTAGGAAAAGGCTGTGAAGGGCCCTGAATGTCACATGTCACATGTTGCCTACAGCATGCAGAATCAAAACATGATGAATCATGTCTTGAATCATGACATGAATCATGACACACGAATCATAACATGTGACATGTTGAATGTCACATGTCACATGCGATAGGCAGCCATCAAGAGTATTTGAAAGGAAAGTATATAATCGGGCCTGTGCTTTAATAAGATAATTTATATAGTATTCAGTGTGGATTCAAATGGAGAATATAGGTACTAGTTTTGACATCGACAGTATAGGAAACCATTTAGGTTTCTCGTACACCAAAATATTAAAACATACACCCAAACACAACAATACATTAAAATTTTGAGAGAGAAGAGCCAAAAGTTATTTGTCACTGGACTAAAAGTGGAAATAAATGTTTACAACCTCTAAGGTAGACTAGAGGAGTTGTTAGCAAAACTGCCACATAAAATTTCAGATATGCAAAGAAATGCAATTGTAGACTTATGCACATATTTCCACAAGAGAATAGAGTCTGGGCAGAATGGGAGAAGTAAAAAACGTGTTCAAAGCTTAGGAAGTGCCTTGCTCTTCACCAAGAGGAGCCAACAGCATTTTCTTTGAATCAACTCTCATATTCCCTTACAGAGAAGTTGATAGTGTTGTAGAAAACTCACCTATTGAAGTGACAACAAAAACAGCAACCCAATATGAGTAAACTGGTATTATGATTAAAGGGACAAGTAACTGCACTTTTGACACATACCCTCTAAAAGGTTGGTTAGGAGTGTTTCAAAGAATCAAGTCTGAGTAATAGAAAAGAGTATACCACTTCCCCTTCATACACTTTTGAGCATGGGGGAACTGGGGGCTGGGTAATTGACAATTGACTGGGTAATTGTCACACGGGACATTCTCCCACTATACACCATTTCTTTGGGATCTCTCCCAAAATTCTTCTTCTAAGTGACACATCCCTGTATTGATCATCTTTCCCCATACTGATCTTCCTCAGCAATCATGTGAGTTATTAGTCTTACTATTTGTTTTTCTTAAATATGGTCTTTTAACCACTCAAATATTTTGTATAAACATAGTTTGTTTTCCCAATTTAACTGGAAGCATTTTTCAAAATGGGAATCTGTGTGTATATTTCTGTAATTTTTTTGTCATGCCTTATGTGGTATATAAAAATCAACAGCAATAAAACAACAACAGTAATAATACCTAAGACTTTTTGAATGCTAACCATATATTCAGCATTATTTCAATTCCTTTACATGTACCAACTGATTTAATTATTACGATAACTGCATGAAGTGGATATAGTGTTGTCATCAGTTTACACTTGAGGAAACTGAGTTATGGGGAGGTTAATTATCTTTGCCATAGTCACAGAGTCATTAAGTGTATGATCTGAGACAGTCTGACACCTGAGCTATGCTTCACTGTACCTGTTAAGATATTCTTTTTCTTGAATTCAAATTCTAAAAGAAAAACGGAGTTGATATTTATAAATTCAATGCTATCCCCATCAAGCTCCAATGACTTTCCTCACAGAATTGGAAAAAGACACCTTAAACTTCATATGGAACCAAAAAAGAGCCCGCATAGCCAAAACAAACCTAAGCAAAAAAAAAAAAAAAAAAAAAAAAAAGAAAGCTTGAGGCATCACGCTACCTGACTTCAAACTATATTACAAGGCTATTGTAATTAAAACAGCATGATACCAGTACCAAAACAGAGATATAGAGCAATGGAACAGAACAGAGGTCTCAGAAAGAACTCCACACAACTACAACCATCTAATCTTTGACAAACCTAACAAAAACAAGCAATGGGCAAAGGATTCTCTATTTAATAAATGGTGTTGGGAAAACTGGCTAGTCATATGCAGAAAGCTGAAACTGGATCCCTTCCTTACATCTTATACAAAAATTAACTCTAGATGGATTGAAGATTTAAACATGAGGTCTAACACCATAAAAACTCTAGAAGAAAGCCTAGGCAATACCATTCAGGACACAGGCATAGGCAAAGACTTCATGACTAAAACACCAAAAGCAATGGCAACAAAAACCAAAATAGACAAAAGGGATCTAATTAAACTTAAGAGCCTCTGCACAGCAAAAGAAACTATCAATGGAGGGAATTGGCAACCAACAGAATGGGAAAAAATGTTTGTAACCTACCCATCTGACAAAGGGCTAATAGCCAGAATCTACAAAGAACTAAAATAGATTTACAAGAAAAAAGCAACCCCATCAAAAAGTGGGTAAAGGATATGAACAGACACTTCTCAAAAGAAGGCATTTATACAGCCAACAAACATATGAAAAAAAGTTCCTCGTCACTGGTCATTAGAGAAATGCAAATCAAAACCACATTGAGATACTATCTCACGCCAGTTAGAATGGCAATCATTAAAAACTCAGGAGACAACAGGTGCTGGAGATGATGTGGAGAAACAGGAATGCTTTTACACTGTTGGTGGGAGTGTAAATTAATTCAACCAATGTGGAAGATAGTGTGGCAATTCCTCAAGGATCTAGAAATAGAAATACCATTTGACCTAGCAATCTCATTACTGGGTATATACCCAAAGGTTTATAAATCGTTCTATTAGAAAGACACATGCACACATACATTTACTGCAGCACTGTTTACAATAGCAAAGACTTGGAACCAACCCAAATGCCCATCCATGATAAACTAGATAAAGAAAATGTGGCACATATACACCATGGAATACTATGCAGCCATAAAAAATGATGGGTTCATGTCCTTTGCAGGGACACGGATGAAGCTGGAAACCATCATTCTCAGTCAACTGACACAAGAACAGAAAACCAAATACCGCATGTTCTCACTTATAAGTGGGTGTTGAACAATGAGATCACATGGACACAGGGAGGGGAACATCACACACTGGGGCCACTTGGTGGGTAGGGGTACTAGGGAAGGAATAGCAGGGGGTGGAGGAATTGTGGAGGGATAACATTGGGAGAAATTCCTAATGTAGGTGACAAGCAGATGAATGCAGCAAATCACCATGGCATGTGTATACTTGTGTAACAATCCAACACAATCTGCACATGTACCCCAGAACTTAAAGTATAATTTTAAAAAAGAAAAAGAAAAGAAGAAAACCGCCAAAAATAAAAAGAAAGAAAGAAAGAGAAAAGAAAATTTGGCACATATATACCATGGAATACTATGCAGCCATAAAAAAGGACGAGTTCATGTCCTTTGCAGGGACATGGATGGAACTGGAAACCATCATTCTCAGCCATCTGACACAAGAACAGATAACCAAATGCCACATGTTCTCACTCATAAGTGGGTGTTGAACAATAAGAACACAGGGAGGGGAACATCAAACACGGGGCCTCGGGGGGGGGCTAGAAGAGGAATAGCAGGGGGTGGGGAGACTGGGGAGGGATAGCATTAAGAGAAATACCTAATGTAGATGACGGGGCAATGGATGTAGCAAACCACCACCATGGCACATGTATACCTATGTAACAAACCTGCATGAGCTGCACATGTGTAGGGTTCAGCCCTACAGGGTTCTGTGAGCCCCTCCTGGCTGGTGCAGAGATGAGAAATTGTAGAAATAAAAGACACAAGACACAGAGATAGAGAAAAGAGTTTGGGCCCTGGAGTCCACTGCTGTCCAAATCGTGGAGACCAGCAGTGGCCCAGAACGCCTGGATGCTCTCACTTTAATTGAGTTGCAAATCTGGGGGCAGGGTAGGTAGGGCATGGTCTTGGTGGTCAGAGAATGCGGGCAGGTAGATAGGGCGTGGCAGTGATAGGGTCAAGTATGTCACGTCTCATTCAGGTAGGGGCTTAGGAATTTCCGGCACCTGAAGTGAGGTAAGGAGCATAATGCATCAGTACTTTTTCCATACTTATCAAGAAAGAACAAAAACATTAAGATTTATATTGCTATTACTGATTATCTTTTCTAAGAAAAACCGGGTGCAGAAGGAGAGCTTGAGAGTAGACATGGAACGTGACCACTGAAGCACAGCATCACACAGAGACAATTAAGCTCCCGGATGTCTGTGGGCCTGCCTGACAGCCGTCAGACCTTACCACAAGAGCTTGGAGAAGCGGAATTTTCTCCTAACTCCTCTGGGGAAGGAGACGTCTCAGCTATTTTGGATGTCTCCTTTCGTAGCTGGCTAAACAGCAGGTGCTTTCCCAGCGCTAGCATTGCTGCACAGCCAAGGCGCCCTCCAGCAGCCCTTATGTGGGTGTCATAGAGAGCTTAAAGCGTCTTGCCTTAGTGTCATTTCTTTCACAATGTCACCCCCGGTTCACACTTCTGACCTGAGAGGCACTAGTAAAAGAATTAAGATCACCTATAAATAACTAAGATCACATATGAATAACTAATAACTACTACAGTTATATTTCTAGTTACCTTCTTCTTCATTATTTATATGGAAATAGGCTGAGGCTTTTTGCTCCTGCCTTGGCACGTATGGGATCTCCCCCCTACACACATGTACCCCAGAACTTAAAGTATACTAAATAAAAATTTTTAATAAAAAATTAAAAAAAATAAGTTCACACATTAAAAAAAAGAAAAGAAAAGCAGAGGCCCTAGTTAATCAAGGAAAGTTTTGCTTTAAAAACATTAAGAAACAATATTCCCAAGGACTCTGCAAGATTTTGTGGCCCATCACAGAACAGGGTCATCTTTGACTTCTACACCAAGGAAAATGTGACTTTGGATTCTTGGACAGAACTTACTGCACGGCCTCTATCTTCATGTGCCCTTGCTGGGATCTGAAGATAAATATGAATAAAGTAGATACAGTGGAAGTGAGTAGAAGAAACATCCTGAACAAAAAACACTTGGTCTCCTTGGCCAGCTACCCATATTCTCATCAAGGGAGAATTTGACCATAGGTAATATCACATCAGAGTGCAAACTCTGGACCAACTTGTACCTTTACTCATTCCTACCTTTAACACGCACATAGCATAATATGTACAATTCTCATTCTGGGCATAGTTGATGGTAGGAAGGTTTTCATATATTTGAGATCCTATTTGGTGAGCATATGATAGCAACACAAGAAATGTGCCATCAGACTACTGTTCAACAAGTTTACAAAGATGGCCACAACAATTCTTATGATTCTTTTGCACATGACTCTTTGCCATGCAACATTGTCACCCCTTCCCATCAAGATATAGAGTCTATTTCTTTTTCCCTTTAATTTAGTCTGGCTCTGTGACTTGCCTAAAACCAACAGAAGGCTGCAGAAGGGACATCATATGACTTCAGAGTCTCAGCAGCAAAAGGCCTTTCAGCTTCCGAAAAGCTGTTGTTGCTGTGAGGTAGGAAGCCTGGCCAGTTTCCATGAGAATGGGAGACCACACCTGGTCAACAGGGAGAGCCAGCCTTCAGCCATGTGCGTGAGACCATCCAGCCTCACTTAAGCTGCCAGATGACTGAAGCCAGATAAGTGACCCCAGGCAAGACCAGCAAAAGAACCAACTGGCTGAGCCCAGCCCAAATTGCTAAGGCATAGCAATTTAGGAAAAGATAAATTCTTGTGTTTTAAATTAGGATTTGTTATGGAGAAATAGATAACTGATAAAGCTCCAAATCCTAATTGAGACAAGAAAATCAACGCCTTTTATACTACTATGATACAAACTATTTTCTTAATATTCATCATTAAAGCTTTATATGTCTAACTGCCCTTCCTCTACTACGAGGACTACTGCGCTGGTGCATTTAAGTGCGTGCATACACACAAAGACATATTCTCCAGTTTCCCAACTAGTTACTCATATACTCTTTTGGGCTTTCATTTCCAAATATTGCTATGTTTCCAGTTCAGTCCATTTAACTAGCTTCATTCCCATATATCCAGCTCTTTCTGTCTGTGAAGAATGGCTTACCATTACTTATTATGTGGCAGGAACTGTTTCTCAGTATCATTTTATCAGGCAGATGACCATTACTCTGCTCATTTTATATACAAGATAACTGAGGCTTAGTAGATGGCCATTCTACCAATTTCATATTCCCTCATTTAAGTCAGCCTGCAAGAGGTTTTAAAGCAAATGACTATCTCTACCTTCCTTAAAATATGTCCTTCACTTAGTTTCCAACTACCACACTTTCCTGGTTTTCCTCTAATCTTGATTTCTCAGTCCCTTTGATGACTTTTCTTCAAGCTCATTTAATGTTAGAATGCCCTAAGTTTTTACATTTGACCCTATTATTTTCTCTATCAATAACTACTGGACAGGTGACTTCATCTAGTCAACCATGACATTCAGAATCGATTGCAAAATAGAGATAGGAGTCAAAGAGAAGAGATAAATACGTTACCCTTATTACTTATTTTTAAAATATTTATATTGGAAAATATGATTGGGACACCTACTAACCCATACAAACACAAGAACATTTGGGCAACCACAGGCCTCCTCCAATGCAAATAAGTGTGTGAAAATCTCACAGCATGGAGTATTTAAAAAATGTATATTCTCTGAAGGTGAGATA